CACACCGAGGACTACACTTGCGACTCTTGGGTTTGCTCCTTCTACAGCCGACTCGTCGCTGTTTCTGCGCAGCGACACCTCTTTGCCGCCGTTCTACATCCTCGTGTACGTCGACGACTTGGTCTTTGTCACAGCTGACACTGCTGGACTCGCCCACGTGAAGTCCGAGCTGCAGAAGAGACACACGTGCACAGACCTGGGTGAACTGCACAGCTACCTTGGCTTGCAGATCACCCGGGCCAGAGCACAGCGCACCATTACCCTGACTCAGTCACACATGGTGCAGCAGGTCCTTCAGCGCTTTGACTTCACGTACTCCTTGCCTCAGGCCACTCCTCTATCTACTCACCACTCACTCTCAGCTCTGCCTTCGGATGAGTCCGTAGAGCCGAGTGACCCGTACCCAGAGCTTGTTGGCTGCGTTATGTACCTGATGACCTGCACACGACCTGACCTTGCATACCCTCTTAGCATCTTGGCACGCTATGTTGCTCCTGGGAGACACCGACCAGAGCATATGGCTGCAGTGAAGAGGGTGTTGCGCTACTTGTGCAGTATGTCGGGCATGGGGCTAGTGCTTGGAGGACAACGTTCAGTGGTCCTCACAGGTCACGCAGACGCTTCTTGGGCTGACGACCAAGCTACGCAGCGGTCGTCACTGGGTTACACCTTCAGCCTTGGTTCCGGCTCTGTTTCGTGGCGGTCTACCCGCTCGTCTTCTGTTCTCGGCTCCAGCTGTGAGGCTGAGATCTACGCGGGGGCCATGGCTGCACAGGAGTTACGCTGGCTCACCTACCTGCCGACTGACCTAGGAGAGCCGCCTCATTCTCCTCCAGTTTTGTACGTAGACAACAAGGCCATGCTGGCCTTGTGTCGGGAGCACAGACTGGAGCACAGAACGAAGCACATTGCTCTTTGCTACTTCCTTTCTCGTGAGCTGCAGCAGCGTGGTCAGCTGCGCCTTGCTTACAAGGCCTCTGAGGCCAACACTGCTGATATCTTTACCAAGGCACTTCCGCCTTGTGATCATCGGCGCTTTTGTACGATGCTAGGTCTTGTGCCTACTTGGCCTCACTTGCTCACTTCTTGACCTTGCTTGTACTGTGATCTTTCTATACCTGCACTTACTTGATTACCTTTATATATGATCTTGCATGTGAACTGGCCCTATGGCCTTGAACATGTGCTCGGAATGTGTGGTGACGTTGTGATCCACCCTGAGCTTGCTTTGTTTTACATGACTGGCCTTGTGACCTCTTGTTCACCCCCACTTGGCCTATGGGGGTGTGTCAAACTCATATGCTATAGTCTGTGTAGGCTGTAGTGGGGTAGACAATATGGGGTACAACACTTTTAGGTCTTCCTACGTGTACCCACTTGCTTGCTAGTTCATTCATTCCTCATTTCTTCACAGCGGCGGCGGCGGCTGCTGTCGGAAAATATAATTAAATATTTTCTATATGTAACTGCCTGTAGGATTGGTTACTGTAGTTCTAGCGTTTTCCTATTTGGTGGTGCACCTTTTTTGCTTGTTCTCTCATATTTGTACCCTTGAACCTATAGTGAAACCCCCTTTTATTTTCTCTCGACATTTCTCCTCCAACTCGAACTCAACTTCCTACCTCACTAGCTATGGCTCCTAAGCCTTGCTAGATTTTTTACAGCTGCTGCTGGCGGCGGCTGCTGCTAGTGGCGGAGGAACCGAGAAGGGGCCGGGAAGGGTGGCGACGGGGCCACGAAGGACGGCGACGGGGCCGAGAAGGGGCCGCGAGGGGCCTCGAAGGGCGGCGACGGGGCCGCTAGGGGCGGCGACGGGGCCGCGAGGGGCGGCGACGGGGCCGCGAAGGGCGGCGACGGGCCCAAGAAGGGGCGGCGACGGGGCCGCGAAGGGGCCGCGAGGGGCCTCGAAGGGCGGCGATGGGGCCGATAGGGGCGGCGACGGGGCCGCGAAGGGGCCGCGAGGGGCCTCGAAGGGCGGCGATGGGGCCGATAGGGGCGGCGACGGGGCCGCGAAGGGCGACGACGGGGCCGCTGGGGACGGCGACGGGGCCGCGAAGGGGCCGCGAAGGGCCTCGAAGGGTGGCGTCTGGGCCGCTAGGGGCGGCGACGGGGCCGCGAAGGGCGGCGACGAGGCCGTAAAGGGCGGCGACGGAGTCGCGAGGGGCGGAAACGGAGTCGCGAGGGGCGGCGACGGGGCCGCTAGGGGCGGCGACGGGGCCGCGAAGGGTGGCGACGGGGCCGCTAGAGGTGGCGACGGGGCCGCGAGGGGCGGCGACGGGCCACGAAGGGCAGCGACGGGGCCGCTAGGGGTGGCGCGAGAGCCGTGAGAGGGGCCTCTAGAAGGGCGCGACGGGCCGCTAAGGGCAGGGGACGCGACGAGAGGGCGGCCCACGGGGCTCGCCTCGGGCAGGGGCGACTCGCGCTCCGGTCAGGAAAAAAAAAATTCGATGTTCAGTGGTGGGCCCTAGGAAGCGTTCCCACTAGGGAACCTGCTCTATACCATGTGAAGAAATGAGGAATGAATGCACTGGCAAACAGGTGAGTACAAGTAGGAAAACCTAAAAGTGTTGTACCCCATATTGTCTACCCCACTACAGCCTACTTAGACTATAGAATATGAGTTTGACAAAAAAATCACTTTTTATTGTAAGGGCGCCCTAAAATACAACTCTGTAAAATCAGGGTGAACACCTAAACCCACCCTTATAGTAAAGGCCATAAGGGTGATTTACCCTGATATCAAGAGGCCTGGTTCCTACTTTACCAGCGCCTACACTCCTACTACCGTATTGCACGGTTGTTGGAATGTTGTCATAATGGAATTTCTACCACTACCAGCTTTCTACACTTAAAGAGCAGGATGTACTCTCTGGGAAAGTTGATGGAAAAAATGAAGACATTCAGACCAGGCCCGCCAGCTGGTTTTGGATCCGTTGGATAGATCAGCTTAGGTACCGGTATGTACAAAATGCTTCGTTCACAAGGTTTTGTTGGTCACACAGCGTTTGCTAGTTCACAAGCTCTTACCGTATTCCCCCTGATAAAGGCCCCTGCGGTTCTAGTTTCTGTAAACCCCCGGATACCGGTATAAGACCCGGGGGCAGGCCTCTGGTTAACAGGGTGAATCACCCTTATGACACTGACTATAAGGCTGGTTTTCATAATGCACCCTTTTTTTTCAGAGTGGTTCATTTCGGGACCCTTCCAAAAAAAAGTGATTGGTTCTAGGACACTGATATTTCACAGTTACAGGAGATACACTGACGAAACCGAGTTCATTCTGACAGGGATATTACATCATCCTGCGTAAAACCAACTATCATAGATCCCACAACAGAGTTAACCTACATCGAGTATCGAACCTGCGTACTGAGCATCAAATTTCCACCGCAAGTCACTATAACACCACACCATGTAAATGTATTATTTACCCTATTCCTGCACCCTGCTAGGAAAGAGTGTTCTCGCCACGTACCCTTTTAGAAAGAGTGAAGACGGAGCATTGGCCTTAAGAGAAAGAGAGGCTCAAATCCTAACCAGAGGCCTGCCCGGGGGTTAACAGAATTGCACCAAGAAAATAGGGGGGGGGAGTAGGGCGTGTGCTAGGATTTAGGGCACCCTGAGCCCTCATGATAACTTTTGCAAGCTTTCCAAAGTGCCCTGATTTCTCAGGGCAAAATTCCCTGGCCATCCTGACGTTTCAGGGCACCAGCAGAAATCCATCTGGATGTTTCAGGGCAAGAAATACAAGACACTAGAGTGGATGGAGGGGAAGGCACGGAAGGAGCAGGTTGTTCAGTCCTTTCACTTCTACTGGCTGAGGAAAAATTGGTGGGGGAGGGGTGGGGACAAAACTAGCGTACACACCCCTCAGCCTCCTTCCTCTCCTCTCCCCCTCTCCCCCCTCCACCCCTTCTCCCCTTCCCACGAGTCAGGGCATCCCTCTATATTCACCCTACCGTGTTACCCCGGATAGTAGCGCATATGCGCGTATAATAAAATTGGCTTCTTTAAAGCCCGGGGTCAGCATGGTAATTTATCAAGTTATGTGGGTTTGAAATAGTGTTGGCGAAACCTTGAAAACAATAATTTCGGCAAAGTCGGTGTAGCGAGAAAAATATTGATTGACGAGGGGGAAAGGGGTCTCGCCAAACGTGAAGCGATGGTGAACGATACTGTGCAGCTTTGACGGATTTGCAAGCAGTGTGGGGCGACTGGAAGGAGTGTCGCAAAGATTGTTCTTCAGCCAATCAGGTTCAAGTAGTGGAGAAGGTCCACGCACAATGCGACTACTAGCAAAGCGAAAACGGGAAGCACCAACACGAGTGAGGAGAAAGAACACCACGATCATTCAAGCTAACTACTTCGTGTGAAATAACCGCAGGAGCTAACAACAAGGGAACGTGCAAACGAAGGTGACATGCCAGAAAACGTACATGCTGAGTCGCAGGAATGAGCGTTGAGAAGAGCGTGACACAGCGCGATATGGCCTCTAGCACATCGATTGCCTTTGGCAGCACGTAGGTCGAAAATTTCGGGGCATTGCGAACGTATATTGGGCTCGAAAGTGCCTATTACTTAGGGCAATGCCACGCTGGGGGCGTCCACAATACGCAGACCCTTAGGGTTACGCAATTCTACTCTGTCAGCCACCGGGCGCCCTCGCGCGGGTAGCAGGGCGCGAAATACAGAGACGACCATCCCCCTCACCGGTTTACGCACAGCCCGCGCCACTGGTCGTCTAGCAGCGCGTCAACTCGCAAACGTCCAGCGTGCGCACTATTCTGGTCTACAAGCAGCGTGGAGAGGGCGCTGGAACGAGGCACCACCACGCTAGGACAGGTACACGTGCTCCACGCCCTTGCACTCTGCGCTCTGCCCCCTCCGCCCCCTGCGCTCTGCGCTTTGCCCCCTCCGCCTCCTGCGCTTTGTCCCCTGCACTCTGCGCTATGCGCCCTGCGATCTGCGCCCTATTCTCTGCGCCCTATGCACTGCGCCCCATGCTCTGCGCCCTATGCTCTGCGCCCTATGCTCTGCGCCCTATGCTCTGCGCCCTATGCTCTGGTTCCTATTCCCCTTCTCGCCAAACCTCCACCCGCCCCCGCCCCTTTCCAACCCCTACCCCTCATGGTTGTCCCCTTCCTCCCTTTCCCCCACCCGTTTTCTTCCTCCCACATGAGGCATGGAGGAGGGCAGGAGAAAGAAATTTGAGGGTGGAGTGTCGTCCACTGCGGCATGTCTCAACCTCTCTCCCTCTCCCACTCTCCCCCTCCTCCTTCCTTTCTCTCTGCCCACCGCGCCCTTCCCCTGTTCCTCCTCGCAGGGGGGGTGGCGCACAACATAGCGGAGTGCATGGCAGCACTCTCCGCCGCGCCCTTCCTCATCTCCGCTGTGGGGGATGACGCTGCACGCAGGTCGCACTGCTGCATGCAGGTCGCAATGCTGCTCTGCTCTGCTCCCCATCTGTTCCTCCCCATCTGTTCCTCCCCATCTGTTCCTCCCCATCTGTTCCTCCCCATCTCTATTCCTCCCCATCTGTTCCTCCCCATCTTTTCCTCCCCATCTGTTCCTCCCCATCTGTTCCTCCCTATCTGTTCCTCTCCATCTGTTCCTCCCCATCTGTTCCTCCCCATCTGTTCCTCCCCATCTGTTCCTCCCCATATGTTCCTCCCCATCTGTTCCTCCCCACCTGTTCCTCCCCATCTGTTCCTCCCCATCTGTTCCTCCCCATCTCTGTTCCTCCCCGTCTGTTCCTCCCCGTCTGTTCCTCCCCGTCTGTTCCTCCCCGTTTGTTCCTCCCCATCTTTTCCTCCCTATCTGTTCCTCCCCATCTGTTCCTCCCCATCTGTTCCTCCCCATCTGTTTCTCCCCATCTGTTCCTCCCCATCTGTTCCTCCCCATCTCTGTTCCTCCCCATCTGTTCCTCCCCATTTGTTCCTCCCCATCTGTTCCTCCCCATCTCTTCCTCCCCATCTGTTCCTCCCCATTTGTTCCTCCCCATCTCTGTTCCTCCCCATCTATTCCTCCCCATCTGTTCCTCCCCATCTGTTCCTCCCCATCTGTTCCTCCCCATCTGTTTCTCCCCATCTGTTCCTCCCCATCTGTTCCTCCCCATCTCTGTTCCTCCCCATCTGTTCCTCCCCATTTGTTCCTCCCCATCTGTTCCTCCCCATCTCTTCCTCCCCATCTGTTCCTCCCCATTTGTTCCTCCCCATCTCTGTTCCTCCCCATCTATTCCTCCCCATCTGTTCCTCCCCATCTGTTCCTCCCCATCTGTTCCTCCCCATCTGTCCCACCCCTTTCGGAAGGAATGAGGGAGGAAGGACGGGTGGAGATGGTGAGATGGGGAGAGGGGAAGAGCGGAAGACGAGGGGAAGCGCGAGTGACTGGGAGGCAAGCCCGACGACGGGACGCGCGAGCGACGAGGGGAGGCAAGGGCGGCGAGGATCGGCACGGGTGATGAGGGGAAGCGCGAGCGACGAGAGGGAATGTGGGTGACCAAGGGAGGTGAGGGCGGCGAGGATCGGTGCGGGTCGACGAGGGTGATGAGGGGAGCGCAGGTGACGATCTGAAGCGTGGTATGTTTACTATCAGCAATTGCAACGAGGGGATGTGTGGTTAACGTGGGAGAGCGCGGGCAACTAGGGGAACATATGCGACCAGAGGGTCGGGGAGGGTGATGAGGGAAAGCGCGGGCGACGACGAAAGCGGTCTGGCGTGGGCAAGAGCGGTCGACGAGGAGGAACATGTGCGACTAACGGCTGAGTGCGTCACGCGAACCAGTACGGCATTCGCGTGAGCGACCCGTGCCTAAAACGGTACGATCGTGACACGAGGCTGAATGGCAGCAAGTGTGACAAGAGCCTGCGTGTGCGGCGCGAGCTTGAATGCAAGACTCGAGTAACGTGAATCTCGTTTACTAACATAAGTGCTGTGGGTGTACGGGTTGTAACACGAGACCATTGACGTGAGGGAGAGATCGGAGCGTGCACTGACTAAGATGGTCGAGGTGGACTTATATTTCCTTCCGCACAAAAAAAAAAAAGCCTATCAACGACTCGCTTTTGCCAACTAGCACTAGTTTTTGCCTTGGAGCCTCCTAGCCTATGAGTACTACTTGGTAAGCAAGTTATGTGAGTGGTGAACAGTACAAATGGTTGGCGATCATCGCGTCAGTTCTGGTTTTGGGCACTCGGGTTCCGTTGTCGCAGGACGATTGCCTGGGGTCGCGAGAATTTTCTCAAAACAAGTAGGGTAACCCTGTTTTTGGTGACTTCAAGTTCAAGAATCTTGAACTTGAAAATTACCATGCTGTACTCGGGCTTTAAGGGGGGCACTTGTAATTGAGTATCGGCCATAAGCGCCGGCGCTTATATAATAAATAATACAGAAATACAAATTAAACGCACGTTGTACATTTCAGTCTCGTAAGTTCAATCGAATCGAACTTTTACAACGTGCTGAATCAGAATCGCGCGAGGGCATTTCCCTGGGGCTAGTTCTGTTGCCCAGCGGCAAATGGAGGGCGGACAGCACAGCACAGCACTACTGGTGCGGCCGGGTGCTTCCGCGAAGCCAAGAACCCCCCACGTTGGTGCGATTCAGCTTCCTGCCACCCTCCGCGCAACTGGAGGAGCGACGTAAAAGTTCTGCTTTGGTGACCGTTAAAATGTTTTCCGCGACGATAATTGGTGGGTCTGGAGCAATACAGCCAACCAGTACCAAAACATTTCCTAGGTTCGTTGCTTTCACTATAGTTATTATAATTATAGCACCAAACTAGGTTGAGTGCACCGAATTCTAGGCTTTTCGGTTGCCACCGAATTGCCTTCTATCGAATTCGAGAAGGACCCCTTCGGGACGCTTCGCGGCCCGCGGAACCTTCTAGTAACACCCGGGTTACTGCCTTTGTGTCGAGCCTATATATAGCCTCGCCTTGTACCCAGGTTATTCATTTGAATAGATTTATCTTACCTGAACCAGATCCTCACACCGTCACACTTTCCAAATTGCGAGAACATGACGATTACACTATGAAGCAACCATGGTTCCAACTCCTTGATCGGCGCTTGGGTCCACACTCGCTCGATCTCTTTGCGAAAGCCACCAATGCGCAACTCTCTCTTTTTTTCTTTAAGGTGCCCCATACGGCGTGCACGCAGTCAATGCTTTCTCCATTTCATGGACCAGGGAACATGTCGAGAGAATAAGTGAGTTAAGAGGTGGGGCCTAGGCTTAGTAGCCTAGGCCCGAACTTAGGTATCGAGAGGGTTTTCACCTAGGCAAGGTGTCGAGTGAGTTGAGAAGGGAAATTGGAGAATGAAGATGGTTCACTATAGGTTCAAGGGTACATATAGCATAGAAACCAAATAAGGTGCACCACCACCAACAGTTTACATAACTACACTAACTACAACTACAAGCAGTTATAAAACATGACAAAATATTTCGACACGCCCCCATAATGCTTGTAGGTAGATGTGTAGTTCCAGCATAGCAAGCAACAGCAGGTACCCCTTCCGTCTCCTCACCCTCCTCCTTCCCCTCCCCCACACTGCTGCAGGAGCAGCAGAGAAGGGGGGGAAGAGAGGAGAGGTGGAGGGACGGCTGCATGTTGCCTCACACCCGCCACCCCGTTACCACTCCCCCTGCTCCCCCACATCCTCACACCCTCCCCCCCCAGCGGCAGCTGCAGCGGTGGGACTGAAAGAAGGAGGAGGGGAAGGGAGAGAGGTGACGCCACACTCCAACACCCTCCACCCCCATACCCTCCTCCCCACGGATGCAGGGAGACAAAGGAGGAGGGGGTGGGAAGGAAGAAAGCCGCAGAGCGGCGAAAAGGCGTCGGTGCAGATGGGTCAGGGGCGGCTCCAGGGAGTGCAGGGGCGGAAAGGCCCGTCGCGGGCCAGTGCCACGGGGCGCACGACGGGTAGAAGAAGAAAACAGGCCCGATCATGCGCCTAGGGGCGCACGACGAGCAGGGCACCATCGTGTGCCACGGGGCGCACGATGGGCAGATGAAGGGCACCGTCGCGTGCCACGGGGCGCGCGACGGGCAGAGAAGGAGCCACACACCTGTGGGCGGGACTAATTAAAAATTCGTCACGCGCCCTAGGCGCGCGACCGAAAACTCATCGCGGAAGCGTAAGGCGGGCACACAGGCCAAGTCGTAAAAATGCTCCGATTCCATGTCGAGAGAATAAGTGAGTTAAGAGGTGGGGCCTAGGCTTAGTAGCCTAGGCCCGAACTTAGGTATCGAGAGGGTTTTCACCTACGCAAGGTGTCGAGTGAGTTGAGAAGGGAAATTGGAGAATGAAGATGGTTTCACTATAGGTTCAAGGGTACATATAGCATAGAAACCAAATAAGGTGCACCACCACCAACAGTTTACATAACTACACTAACTACAACTACAAGCAGTTATAAAACATGACAAAATATTTCGACAGAACACGGGTTCGCTTTCCCATCTCCTCAGTTGATTCCGACGCTGCTGCACCACGCACAACAAACCCGCGCCAGGATCACGCTAATCCTCCCCGAATGGCCCAGTGTTGTTTAGTGGCCCCGAGTTCACCCAACATTGAACGAGTGGGCACTAGAAGTCAAGACCCACATCCAACTCACCAGCGGCAACCAGTGCCTTGGTGTAGGAACCCACACAACAGCATTCTCTAGCACTGGCCTTCCCAACAGCATCATGCATGCGCTCCTATTTTCATTCGAGTAATTGTTGAGCATACTCTTGTTCTCATGGCACAGGCATCATGGTTAGGCTCTATCACCAACTTCTGCTGATCACATCCCAAGTCAGGGCGGATTCAACAATTCGCACATACGACCCCTACTGGCTCAATTTTCGCTCCTTCTGTGACCGATTCCCGCTATCATTCTTACCAACCACCGACACAACGCTTGCACTCTACTTGGTGCATGCAAAAAAAAAAAAAAAAGGCAACAATATCCATGGTACAGCTCACCTCCTCGGCAGTCACTTTTGCATACCGCATGATCGTAGCTCGTTGTCCCGTCTAAGGCTCGTTCACCAGCCAAGTTCGCAAGTACGCCAAACGGCACTGCCCGCGCCCATTATGGATCAAGGAGCCCGTGTCTCTTCACCAAGTCCACAACATGGCACAACAAAACCTATCCGAGAAAGACCCGGCAGAATTCCAAAAGGGACTCATTCCCCTGCTCATGTATGCTGCATTCCTCAGATATTCGGATCTCGTGGCAATTCGCTGGGAAGACATACAATTCGAGGAGGATGTTATGTGGATCCTCATCCCACATTCCAAAACGGACCAAGAGGGTTGTGGAATGTGGGTCCCAGTGGCGGCCACACCGGGCCCGTTCTGCCCTGTACGCTGCACCCAGCGCTTCATGCAACTCGCACAATACGGACCTCTCACTCACGGGCCGTTGATCCGTGTCTTTGGCCGTCGTACATCGGCATCATCTATATTGGGCTGAGAAAAATAGCCCTTAGGATCTTTGCAGCGGTGAACTCTGGGTATAACTCATGTATTAGCGGAAGCGTTTAATGAAGAGTTGTGAACCACCTTGCGCTAGTATGTGAGGGCAAAGTTGATTGATTAAGGCAAAGAGATACAAGATTATATAGGGTACAGGGAATATGAAGAGATACAGTTATAACTACTTTACTGTTGCTGTTGCGGTTCGATACAGTGACGACTCGGGCAACTGCTCTGTAACGAGTCAGTTGTGTGTCCTTGCTGTCGCGCTGTACTTGTCAGGTCAAAGGTCGCTGACCTTTGACTTTCGCATAACCTCCAGCAACTGCTCAACCTCCGAGGGTTGACTCGCCAGTGCTTCGATATGCTTCGCTTCGCTTCTGACTTGGTGTTTTGACACGACAGAGGCGCGTAGAGTTAATTGTTTCCAACAATCTACACCCACCTCCCCTTCATACACGACCATTCGCGATTGGTGAGAAGCATTCGATAAGATTGGCTTCAGTGACACCCATTTGGGAACCCATCCATTCCGCAAAGGCGCAACCACCATGGCTGCAAGTGCAGGGGTCCCAGACCGCGTCTTCCAAAGGCTCGGTCACTGGCGCAGCAGTACGGCCAGGGACTTTTACGTGACGATAGCAACCATAGACTTGGTGTCCGCCTCCCGGGCTGACACCGCACCGGCCCCTCCGCATCACGAGCAAGCCATCGTTCGCCAACGACAACCCTTACTTCGCATGCTTCAGAAGACCCACAAGCAATGAAGATGATGTTTATTGCTAGTCAAGAAGCAAGCTTTCTCAATATGTACATTTTGGAAAATGTTACACTTTCTAAAACGACTTATTGTGAAAGCGCAGCAGCTTGTACGCAGCACTAAAGGCATCGTCGAAGCGCTATTCGCCCTTCTCCGACTACAAAAGAAAAGGTTTCGGCCATTTGGCCTCACCCACGTTTTTGTCAGAACATTATAGCTTACTTATTTGTGTAGGCTATAGTGGGGTATCCCATAGGGGGTAC